CCACGCTACAGAAACACAAACGATTCCAAATCAATAAATGTCTGTGAGGATAGGTCAGCAATTTGCAACGATTTTTTTTCCCTGTAAGAGTAAAATGGCAGACCGACTCTGTGGTCTCAAAAACACTCTTTTGGTTCCACAACCAAATTACATTTATTATACTGCACTTCTGACTAGTAAAAACCATAAAGTACTGCCAAATTACCATGTATGACAAATGATTTCTAATGTAGACGCATGCTGGTGCTGACAGGGAATTGCGTCTATAATTTGGAAGTAAGACTTTTCCTGTACCTGGTGTCATTGATTCTTCGTTTCCAGATATTTGGTACACTTCTTAAAGCAGTAATAAAATAAAATCATAGGTAATTTACTGAAGGGAGATGACTTTTATACTCCCTGACCCTGTGTGACCTGTTAGCCCTGGGGTTCAGTGCCATTAGTCTCAGGACTTATTTTATACAGCCCACTACTGAACCACAGGAGAATCCCTGGGAATGTTCATGTATCTCATTTATCCAAAAACCTCTGTCAGACCCGTAAACATTGTAGATTCTTTCTTTCTCAGAGTCTGAGTCTACGGTATGTTTGACTGTCAAGCAATGGACACAGAGCAACTGGTTGTTCAGGTTCTTCAGGGGTCAACACATCAGATAATCTCCATGTCCTCTGCTCTTCTCTAATTCTGTCCATCCTGGTCACTCCCAGTGAAGGTCTCAGCATCTTCAACTCAACCTTTTGTCTACTGGACAGGGCCACTTTTCTTTTAAAGCTTACATCATAGCAGGTCTCACTACTGTCTAATAATCCTGGCCTTTATACTTGGCTGCTTTTCTTCTGTCCTAAGTCATCCTGGACACTCGTCTCCATGCACTCCACTGACCACAGCCCTTTCTTTACCCTCTCCTGTGAGCCCCTGGATATTTATGTGCTGTTTGATATAGGGGGAAAAATCATGTGTATCATGAATTGATGAAATCACATCAATTTTTGCTGTTTTTTATTGCATTCTTACCACCTAATTGGAGTCCCAGTGCAGAATGAAATGACAGATTTATGTTTTTACTGCAAATTTAGAACAACTTCAAACTTTTCCAAAATAGTTTGTAATACAGGTGTTCAGTGCAGAGTCAGAAAGTCATAAATCCACCTAGAGTAAAAAGATACCTGTGTGAAGTCCAAGTGTTGGGAGCTGGAGCCACAGGAGGTCGTGCCCTCCTTCCCTGCAGCTCCAGTCAGTGACAGAGTGTGTTCTGTGTGTGAGAACACATGTATGTTCCCATGTCATCCTCCAGGAACACACTCCTAAACTTTAATGTACAGCTTGGGGCGTTTTTGTTTTTTGTGTGTGTATAAAATGTGCGGGAACAAACCCACAGACCACCCAACGCTGTAATTTCTCACCTCAGCGTCTTCTCAGTTTCTCATCTTCCAACTTTCAGCTCGTTGGTTCCACTTTCTATTCCGGTAATTGGGTTCGGTGGAGGCGAAAAAGTTTTACTCCCACACTGGGTCCCATCATGCATCGGACGAAGTTAGGAAGTGGCGGTGAGGTTAGCGGCAGAAGACAATGCAGATATCATAAATGGTTAGAGGAGAAAAGAATAGAGCTAAATATAGACTGAAGGTCAGACTCAGCATAACGCCAAAACAGTATATCATATATGAGATGAAATGGAGTCAAAAAGTTCTAAGACACACGTTACTATACCAGAAGGTCTAAGATTTTTACAAGATTCAATGGTTCAGCACATCTTTGATAAGTGTTGACCAGAGTTTCATTTTATTTAATCAGATTTTTTGACCCTAAGTGGTGAACAACTTGAAGAGCAGACAGAACCTGTGAATTGAAACCCTGAAAAAAAACTGCAACAGGTGTAGGTAGCTTCAGGAATTTGATTTTCTTTTTTGTGGTTCATTTTTTTATGCTAATAAAATAATTTGTGTCCTTATATTATAGAAGCGGGTTGTTACCTGTTGACAAGGACATCTCCCAGAATTCCACAAATGCCACCCTTTCAACCTGCATTGATTTATTCAACAGTTTCTGTAGTTTTTCTGATTATTCATCTTGTCCTCAGCTGTAGTAAGAGTCCATTCAGGAAAAATTCAGCATTAAACAAACAGGGCAAGCAGGGTGGGAAGGTCAGCGTCTGTATCATATTGGGACATGGGAGGTATTTTAATAGATGAATAATTTACTGGATGAGGAAAACAAGATCTCCTCTGTGGACACGTGGACAAGATCGTCCTGTCGTGAAGGTTACCAGAACATGTGGACATCCTCACTCCCTCCCTTCTTTTCTTTATCTCCAGACAGACTTTATCCTCCCTTCCAAATATATTTAAAGGGAAAAGTCTTTGAAACTAGACAGGCATTAACATGTGTTAGTCTGGGGAAAAGACGTTTCATTGACTCGTTTCATGAATCAAAGTGTGGACAGATGCAAAACATGGCAGGAGATAAAGAGGTTATTTAAAGGGGATTCACACGGAGGCACGGATGAAGACGATTGGGTTCTGTTTTGTCTTCCTTCTTCAGTCGTAAATGTCACGTTAAATCTGCCTGGTTTTGAACTAACAACCTTGGATAAGTCAACATCTCACCATCTGTAGTCTGGTTTAACTTTATTAAAGGTGGACTTTAATATACAATAACTGACAAGGACCAAACATGAAGTTCCAAACATACGCATCAAATAATGGCACAAATTACAGTCATTGATGTGATGACCTTTGAAGAAATACAGAGAGGATGGATCAAATGGTGGATCAAATGGATCAAACCTAAGCTATTTCGTTCATGTAATGCCCTGGTCTGGTATCCAGAATGGGTCCCATCAACTCTACTGTAATATCTTCCCCGTTAGCCAATAACGACGCAGAGAAACTTGTGATGTGAGTAGCTAAAAGTATCTATTTTTATAGCGTTTTTAAGTGCTAAGAGAAATACTTTTATAGCCCCTCACTGTATATACCATATATATTTATATG